TGTTTTAGTTAAGGAGTTATTGATACTTCAAGTGCAAAATAATGATATAAAACCTTGATAAAAATGCACTTTTAAGTACTAATCAAAGTACTCCTACTAAAATAAGGGAGCTTTAAAGGCAAATGAAGAAGTTAATATTGAAGGGTTACATTTAAGATAGCATGATTTCATGTGTTGTTCCAGTATTTTTAGTAGGTAAAAAAGATAATGCTTGAAGAATATGTGGTTATTGTAGAGAAATCAATAAAATAACGGTAAATTATAGATATCTTATCCTTAGATTAAATGACATGTTTGATGAATTGATGGATCTTGTTTGTTTTCTAAAATGTATATTAAAAGTGGATATCATTACATTAGAATGAAAGAAAGCAATGAATGGAAAACTACTTTTAAAACTAGTCATGTCTTTTGAACTTACAAATACGCTTAGTACTTTCATGACATTAATGAACCATATATTGCATGCATTCATTAGAAGGTTCATATTTTTTTATGTTGATGATATATTGATTTACAATGAAGATTTAGATGAGCATATAAATCATTTAACATAGGTACTTGATGTGTTTAGAAATCAAAGTTTATATGCTAATCTAAAAAATTATGACTTTTGCATAAAAAAGATTATTTTTTCTGAATATGTTAAAAATGCAAAGGGTATTGAGATGAATAAGACTAAATTTAAGATTATAAAAGAGTGGCCTACACCTAAGATAGTAAGTGAGGTAATAAGTTTTCATGCATCAACTAGTTTTATAGAGGATTTGTGAAAGATTTTAGTACAATAGTTGCTCCATTAAATAAGATTGTAAAGAAGACAATGAGTTTTAAATGTGAAATTGAATAAGAGAAAATTTTTAATTTGTTAAAATAAAAGCTTAGTCTAGCTCAATTTCTTGTTTTACCTCACTTTACAGGAACTTTAAAAAATGAATGTGATGCTATAAATATAAGTATTGAAAATGTTTTGAAAATGTATCATCACGTTGTATACTTGTATCATTATATTTAAAAGCAATATCACCTTTTCGTGCATGATGTTTAATATCTATATGCTTCGTAAGAGAATGTTGAACAGGGTTCCTAGTCAATTTAATAGCTCTAATGTTGTCACACAATCACATAAGATAAGAATGTGATGGAAAAATAAATTAAAATATAATAAAGTTTATTCCATCAAAATTACTTGTGCACGACATGAACCAACAACAATATTTTAGGCTTTTATAGTAGAAATAGATATCAAACCTTGTGTCTTGTTAGATTATAAATAAATGATTAATCATAAAATTAGCTTCTATCACCAATTGACTATGCAACTCGTAAAGTTAGCATCATTTAAACTAAAAAAATATGTTTTATGATATTTAAATAGAACTCTTTGTTGTATGCTAAATAGCAAGCACTAAACATAATGTTAAGTATATTAGTAATTAAATAATATAAACTACCAATCATACCTTTATATTTTGTTGTATGCTAAATAACAAGCACTATTAGTAATTACATAATATAAACTACCAATCATACCTTTATATAGATATTAACATTCTTACTACTTTCATCGTTATTGAGCTTTATTGAAGTAGACATTGATATATTATATAATTATAAATCATTTGATATTAACATTCTTACTACTTTTATCGTTGTTGAGTTTTATTGAAGTAGATATTGATATATTATATAATTATAAATCATTTAGACTAAATTTGTATGTATTTGACTTGATTCAAAAAATATTATTATTTTTATTTACTTGATTTGAAGTCCAAGAAAAAAATGAAGTTTTATTACTATACTCATTTTAAATACAATGTGCATATATTTTTTTAAATTATTAACATAAAAACTTATTAGTAGCATTAAATAAAATATCATCTACATATATTTGTATAATTATAACATACAAATAACTTCCAAACTAACAATGAGTGTATAACTCTCAGTATATAATCTGCATATGTTTTATATAAATTGATAAAAATAAGATTTAATTTTTTAAAAAAATAAAATATGAATATAGATTACTCACTACTTACATTTATTTTGTCTTTTTAAAATAAGGCTAAATCCATTATTTGTATAATGTGTGTTCATCAATTCTCTCAAAAAGCCCCAAAATTATCATTTCTATCAATTGAGCACTTGTGTTTTTATTTTAATTAATTGAGTACAATTACCAAAATTGCAAAGAACTACCAAATTAGCGATGAGGGAATGGGTGGAGGCGAATGATGTGGCCATTTTGACGAAATGATGAAGACGAAGGATGGGGGCAGCAAAGTATAATGGACCATGAAGTTTTATATTGGGCCTCAGGACCCAGAAAAGGCCCAAAGGATATGGTTAGATTAAACGCTGGCAAGTAAGCCTAAAACCGAAGGCCGAAAACCGTTATCAAAATTTCCATCTCCATCCGCATCTGCATCACTGTAGGAAGCAGGAAATGGAGGAGGAATCCATCAGAGAAGCTTCAAAAGAGGTCTGTAGAGAGTTTAAAACCCTAATTGATGAGCGAGATCTGGATTCCCTCAAGCAATTGCAGCTTCTCATGTAATTCTCTCTCATTGTTGATTTGTTGAGTTTTTTTCTTATTTATATATTTAATGTCTTTGGGCTTATCACTATATATATATATAAACCTGAACAGATTGGGAAGGCTGCAGGACAGCAACGCAGTGCTGTCTCATTTTAATGAATATTCAGAGAATTGTTTCGCAGAGGTTTCTGCTGATTTTTCAAGAAACACGCGTCTCTTAAAATCTATGAAGTCTGATCTTGATTACATCTTTCAAAAGCTAAGGTATTCTTTCCATTCCGTTCTCATTTCATAAACTGAATTAAGTGGTCTGGAATCTAATCCTTCTCCTTTGCAGGAGCATGAAAGCCAAAATTTTGGCAACTTATCCAGATGCTTTTCCAGATGGATCCGCAAAAGAAGTGCTTGACCGGAGACCAGACCTTGAAATGCCTTGATAACCTTACGTATGTTTACATATTTTTGTCCATACTCCTCTATGTAGACTAAAAATTTCCCCTGCTAATTTGCCATCCATTATAAGCTCTTTGGGATTTTCCGTGTGCCATGTATGAGAGGTTTTTCTTAATTATTTTCCGTGTTTGTACAGAAACGATAAGGAAAATGAAAAGGGCAAGTACGAACATATTATTTTTGTGTGGATCCCTTTCCTTCCTGGGCGAAAATACTCAAATGGAATGATCAGGTTGCGTAAGCATAGTATTTCCATTATTTTTGTTGTTGTTGTTTTATAAATAACTCTATGCAGCCAGTATGGCAGTGTTTGCTTCCTCTCTTTTTTGTTTCTTTTCCACCATAAGATTCTCTCCCACTTTAACTGAAATGGACTCTGGTCCCTATGCTATTTTGTTTCATAATTTCCTCCAGTTGAACCTATTGTAAAAAGCCTCTAGTTCTATCAACGTGGGAGATGATGAATTATTTTTTAGAGCTTGATGAGTTTGGGCTGCCTGGTTTGGTTTCTTCTTCTGATTCATGCTATATTAGTAAATGAAAATCAGAAAATACGTACCAGATTGGCTTACAGATCCTCTTATGGACATTTTTAGAGTGACTGACAAAAGATTAGTAGTGCTAGAGACGAAACTGACCGCTTAATTCTTAGCCTGGATAGGGAATAGGTTTGCATGAAAGGAATTCGGCTCGCACTCATCCACAGGTGAATGCATCATTTACCTAAATAGATGGAAGGGGTGTGCTTACTCATTGTGGAGCAATTGTTAAAGGCAAATTGGGAATTGACAATAATTGTATAATGTGTGATTTCTGGAAAAATAAAAAACAATTATACAATTTATGGAAGATGGTTACACCTACTATTATGTTGATTGTGGGAGGAACTATGAATTGCGATTTAAGTTTGTTTGGTGTGTGTTCATAACTTCTATAATCTGTTTTCAAGGGTTGAATGTTGAATGTAACGAACTTATTCAGAGTAAACTGGTTATTGTGAATGGATATGTATATGTAATGAGTGGAAGATGGAAATATCATTCATCAGTGAGTGGAGCTCTGAACTGTGATCTCAGTTTGCTTGGTGTCTTTTAAAATCAGTCAATAGTTGGCATTTGGCAAGGGAAGTTTAGTTGAATGGGATAAGAGAATGGATTGGGACAGTGTTGCTGTCTCTTGCAGACATGGAGTCCATGGGTGTTAAGGAAATAATTGAGCCTTTGTGGGAATAAAGCAACCTCAAGCATGAGCTATAATTATTATTATTATTTTGGGTTAAACAAGTCCACACACTTTAAGAGTGTAGTAATGGTTATTTTTTAAAGTGTTTTTCACTTGTAAATATATAAGAAATTAATGTTTTTAAATTTTTTTAAATTATTATGATTAAAAAAACATAAAAATATATTTTAAACAAATTTGTTTTGAATTTACATGAAGCTTCCTTTGTTTAAATCTTGCTTTGGAGAACTTTTAAAGGGTAAACTGGTTCTTGTGAATTGACATTTATATTAATGTGTGGAAGGTGGGATTATTTTCCATCAATCATTGTTGATTGCAGGTGAAACTCTGAATTGAATTGTGAATTAAATTAGAGGGTGTTTGGTTTTGAGGTTGCCAGTGTGTTTAGAAAATACCACACAAAATTATTGTTGGGTTAAACTTCCAACCATACTCTTAAAATGTGGGACTCAGTTGTATTCGTGGTTCAATCGTAAGTTTACAAGAAGCAACTCACACATGTATTTAGAGATGATTGGAAGCATAATTTTTTCTCCTTTCCTTCCTGTGTAATTAGCTCTGGTCCTCCAAGCGTTCTGCTTCTAACCTTGGTCTCCATATGTCTCAAAAAGCAAATCCGTACATCTTTTTTGTGTGCCTTCAATCTTCTTCAATTTTTTTTTTTTAATATGGATTATTTTTTGTACTATTTGTTAATTTTTCTATATTAAAAATAAGAGAAATTTGTGTTTTTTTATCATTTTATGTACAATAAAATAATTTTAACCAAATATATTATAATATATTTTTTGTCAAACAACAATTCAAACTATAATTTTAACTAAATATATATTTTACGAAGCCCAGCATAAATAAAAATGATTTTTTAAAATTATAGAAGCTATTTATGTTTTGGTTATTAATTATGATTTATGTTTTGGTTATTAATTATGAAAAATCAATGTTAACATGCAAATTGATATATAATATTAGTTTTCCACTGGTTCCAGTGCTTGAATTTTAAAGTAAAAAAATAGAATATATGATATAGTTAATTTTTTATTAAGAAAATTATGAAAATTTTCTATTGTGATTTGAAAACTTGTCTAGTTTGTGTAATAAAATTAATTGATAATTATATACATTAATAAATATTTTTTAAAAAAATTATTAACAATAACTAAAAACTAAATAAAAAGCTGAAAACTAGATATAAATAAAGAAATATGATCTTGCATTTATGTTATGCTATTTAATTATTTATCAATAATTTTTTAAAAAATTTAAAATTAGAATTCAATTCAAATAAAATAACTTGATCGCATGACTCCTTTTGTTCTTATTGATTTAGCTTGGCCCTGTAATATGGCCTTTTGCATGGCCTGCGTTTCAATAAAATTATGTTAGGCTTCATATGGTTTGTTTTACCTTATAGGTCCGGACTTGTTGTTTTGTTGAAAATCTGATTTGATTAAAAAATATATATAATTATTTTATTATTTTATTTTTATTTTTATTAGATAAAAATATTTTTTATTGACTTGAATTAATATGTCAAATCCACTATTTAAGGTTTGACCTAAATTAATTCTAAAATTTAATTAAATCTTTAATTAAACTAATGATTAAATCAAATTGGTCTATTAAAAACTTAATTAAGTCTCTAGACTCAACTTTTATATAAATTTAGTCAATAATTATTTAATTTAACATTAAACAACTTAGTTCCTCTATACATTTGAAACCTTCTCAAGTTGTTTTTGCCAAGTTTTTTTTATAAAGGTAAAAATATATTAAAACAAAGGAATATACAAGTAACACAGGACATGTCTCTAAAAAATAAAAGCTTATCTGACTAAAAAAATACTAACTACTTGGTTTGGGCAAGATCTTCTTGCCCAAATTAGGTATAGGCAAGATCTTTTCCAATAATATCTTTTTCTTTAAACACTTTTGACTTGACCTACTTGTTATATGCTTTAGTCATTTTGCTTTGATATAATTTGTGATGACAGATGATTGTTGATCTCTTTTCACTAATTAGATTTGATTTTTTAAATTTGATTTTTATCTTTCTCTAACTTTTCTAGTTCAACATTCATTAAAAACCCTTAATGATATAATTTTTATTTCTAAAGGTATCATTGCTTTCATATCGTATACTAAATAGTATGAAGTTGTACCTATAAAAGTTCTTATTATGGTGTGGTACGCATTTAGTATGGATGGAAGCATCTCATTCCAATCTTTATAAGCGACCAACATTTTTTGGATGATCATTTTAAGATTTTTATTGGCTATCTTAATAGCACATCCATCTTAGATTTGTAAGGAGAAGAATTAAGATGCTTAATCTTTCATTTAGTACAAAGCTCAACAATCAACTTTTCATTGAAATTCTAATCTTCTACTTAGTACAAAACTTCAGCAATCAATTTTCCATTGAAATTTTAAATGTTACTAATATTGCTTACACATCGTAATGACAAATTATATATTTTTCAATGAACCTCTCTATTAACATTTGTGTTATATATATATATGTAAAATCTGACCTCTATCCATTAAGTAAAGTAATTGATAGCAACCAAGATGAATATGAGTCCATTGTTGGCCTTCGAATCGATTGGTCCTATAACATCCAATCCTCACATATCAAAAGATTTAATGAGAGGAACCCATCAACCTTCAAGGTATTGGGTTTTGGAAAAGTCATACTAAAAATAACCTCTAAAAGCTTTTCATCCTTAACAATGTATTGCATATTATTGCCATTGGGAAAAACTTAATGTCTAGCTTATTTTTGAGCAAAAATGATTTTAAAATGGGTTTTTTGAAATCTTGGAATGTATATTACAAACATCTTCGTTGCACAAGTGAGAAGCAATAAAATCTTAGGAACAAAGAATTCATTTTTGACAATAATAAAAGTTTTATTACTTTAAAATATTTTAATAAGTACCCTATTTTTTTTTTAATTTTAACATGAATATTTTTTTACTACTAGTATGCATGCTATAACTTTCAATTAATATCAATTGCAAGTTTGATTATATACTTAGTATGTATACTAGAATTCTTTTATATATATTTATGTTGAAAGCATATTTTTCATAAGTTATGTTTTGTGTATGTATAGTTTTAAATATGTATAAACTCTAGGCTTTTATTGGATATCTTTTATTTATTATACATTTGTAATAATAAACTAAAGATCTTTATTCACTAGTCTAATATATCTACAAACATTAACTTACACTTCATTGGTTAGTACTTATACAATAACTTTATTAATTTTTTTAGACTCTTGAATATGGCATAATGGTTTGCATGCACTCTCTTCAAACACTTCATATATTTATGGATGTCAATTGGGTATGTGATACTAATGATCAAAATTTAACCTTCACAATTAGGTCATCGCCTATACTATAGCTAGGGTCAATTGGGTAATGAATTTTCTTCAAAAGTTATATGTATGTATCCCTCTCACTCCAATCATCTACCAGGACAATATGAGGGCTATGCATGTTGTGCAAACCTAATCTTTTATTTTTGTATGAAACATCGACCTTTATTTTGTTCAAGATCAAGTTGCTACACATTGCCTATGTGTTTTTTGTGTTCAGACTTTTGGCCAACTTGTTAATTCCCTTACTATGTTGTTGCTTCTCCTTCACTTTCTTACTCATCGAACTTGTTTGAGAGTATGTAGCTTTTGTTTATATTTTTTTAAAATATTTTTAAAATACATTTCACTTGAAAAAACATCAAATTGATTATTATTTTTTTTGTGTTTTTCTATGGTTTTAATTTGTTGATGTAAAAAAAATTTGAAAAAAATATTTTAATATATTTTAAAACAAAAAATATTTTTAAAAAGCATATACACCACAATACTAAATTCACAATAAATATCAATGTCCTCAATGGCTATTCAATCTTTGGGGCATGATATGACTACAACATTAATTGATTCTTAGCTACAAAAATAGAATTAATACTTTATATATTTTGCAATTACAATGTAATATTCACATTTTAGTATGTTTATATTTAGTAAATATATAGGATTAATTTTTCTTTTTAGTTTCTTTTTCTTTGTTTGGTATTTAACTTAATTTATAGCATTTCACTATTCCAAATCAAAATACAACAATCATATTAATTCATACAATCTCTTTATTTATGCACACACACATACTATACATGGTTTTCAATTTAAAAATGTTTTACTTTTTCTTATTTACTAAA